ACTTACCGAGTGGTAGAAACACCTATTAATAATTTTTGCGCGACTTCTTTCCGGCACTGTTTGGATATTCTGAGATGCTGTATCTCATTATTATGGCCATAGTGGGTAGACGTGTATTGAATGTAACATTTTTTTGAGGAATTTTCAATTTTTACAGCTATTTGGCATGTACAGGAAAAATCACATTTTGATGAACCCTGGCTTTTTTGAGAACGCTGCCTTTTTTCCTCAGAAACTATTCTCTGTTTACCTATAAAATTGTATGATATATAAAATTATTCATAACCACATACTTATGTGAAAAATTCTACCTGTTCTGCAACACATTAAGGTGTACATTTCATTGCCATTTTTACATCTTTTGACACCCCGTTGTTTAATGAATCTGATGTTATTTTCCTTTTCTTCTTGTTGAAGCCAAATCAAAAATTCTAAAAATGCATAAATGGTAGCTACCTAGGTAGGTTTTTGTCTAAAAAAAAATTTACCTTCATGTGTTGCAAACTCTAATTGATTTTCTTGAAATTGAAAATTGTGCTCCCCTTTCAAATGGCCTTTTAAATCTTGATATGTTTTGAAAGAAATTCCACATCCCTCAAAACATTTAAACAAGGACTCTGAAAAGTATTTTAATTACTTATTATATACCATATACCATAATATATGGTATAATATAGTTACGTATCTCTATAGGTAGGTATATACCGTAATTTGAAGTAATTCAGGATATTTTAAAAAACACATTTTTTGTTTCATATATCCCATGTAGAAATCCATTATAAAACTTTGCACTTTCAATAACATCATGTAGCAGGTTTTATAAAACATCAAATTTTGAAAAAAAACTGAAAAAGTAGCTGTCCAAATAATTGGTTTTGAAAAAATTACCATAACCAAAATAAACTTCTATCAGCTCAAAAAATTTGGGTTTAATTGATTAAAAAATAAGATAGTTATAAAAAATTGTATTACCTTAAATTACGGTACCTATAGGTATACCTATTATACATTCTTGGCATATCTAATAATTGTTAATTAACCAAGGTCTAAATAACTATAGTATACTGTTATTATCTAGTATGGTATAAACTTTAAAGTTATATAATTATACTATATATAAAGCCTTATGTGAGTAGATTTTATACATATCTGAGTAGGTAGTGTACGGTGCACTACTGCATTCATAAATGGACCTGTGGGGCTTATGTTCTGTGCTGTAGGGTATATACTTTTGTTGTCCAATTAATAATACTTGCCAATAATAGTAATGATAAATGTATCATGGTTTTAATAGTTTACCTTTTGACTCAACGATATCATTTTCATGTGTCTTATTGTGCCTTCTTAAATTCCCATTGGAAGCAAAACACTTTTGACAAATATCACACTTAAAGTTTGTTGAAGCCATAACAAATTGTTATTAACAATTTATAAACATAAAAATATACAACACTTAAAACTTATAAAAATACTTAAAACAATAAAAACACAGATTAAAAATCAAACACCAAAACCTTCTCAGTTCCAAACAACAGCTTATAAGCTTATAGTAGGTACTACAGAAATAAAAATACTACTACTGATACTGATACTACTACTGATATTATTCTTAATGACCAAATAGATACCAATAATTCCCCGTTATTAAACTTATTTTAATAAATTCAAAAATTTTTAGTGTTATATAACTATAGAAATTACGGGGCATCCCCATAATTATTGTTCCTTTATTGTATAACGATAATTTAATCTCCCCAAATATTGTACTAAAAATATTACCTGTAAAATAAAACAATATTAAAAATACTTAAAAGAATGAAAACTCCTCTATAATAACACAGATTAAAGATCAAACACCAAAACCTTGTCTGTTCAAAACAATAGCTCATTACTACCATGGAATAGTTGGTATATTCTGCTCAGTGAAAAGTTTGTCACACGAGCCGAAGGCCACATTTAAATATCCCGCCATTAGCAGTCGTCAAATAAGTTGTACATTTGGCAACATGGTATTGTCCGGGTGCTACAATTAATCGTTCCTTCGCGAAAGGCTCTTTGGTCAAAAAGCGCGACTCAGGCGCGGTTGGGGCTCGATTCAGGCGCGACTCTCGCGCGTCTCGCTATACTTATACGCACCTTTATAATTTGGAAAATAATATATTTCACCTCTTGAGTCAACATTCTTATGCTTTTTATTTAAATTAATATAATATATTCAATTTTACTCAATAAAAAAAATTAGCAAAAAAACAGTTTGAATTTCATAACTTATCTATTAAAAACCCCCCAGGACACGTATTCCTTTTGATCAATTAACCTCAAATTTTGCAAGAATTTGTTTTTTTTTAAATTTATACAGGGTGTTTCCAATATCTTTGAATTTTAACCTGATACAGCTTTGAATTCTAACCTGATACAGCTAAACCAAGCATGGACCCAGTAAGCACAAGCTAGCCTGCCCGCATACGGCCCGAATAGGCCGCGTACGGCCCGACACACGTATTTCTTCCGGCGTGTAGAACGGACATGTCCGCCTGACCAACTGTCGGGCATATCCGCCTGGCCGAATGTCGGCTATGTTTACTCGGCCGAGTGTCGGCTGTGTATAGTTGGCCGAGTGCCAGCCACAACCGCCGGGCCATTCAAAAAAGCCTACAGACGTCCTGGAGAGGTATCCCAGTAAGCACAAGCTAGCCGGCCCGCATACGGCCCGAATACGTTTTGCCGAATCGGCCGAGTGCGGCCCGACACATGTATTTGTTTCGGCGTGTAGGCCGGGCATGTCCGCCTGGCCGAATTTTTACTCGGCCGAGCACAGCAAACGAAAAATTATAGAAGTGTATAGGATGACTCCGCGTTTGAATATCAAATCTTAAAGTTTTATCATAACTGTATTGAATCGTGCTTTGTTTTTATATTTTTCGGCTCTATACCTATGCACGACTATATTTAAAGTCAAACTCAATGGTGTCTTACAAGATACCTACATTATTTTGATTTTCTATATTCAACAGAGGAGTAGAAACTCGACCCTGTCGAATGGTGCAGTCATATATGTCTCTAGAAATTATTAAAAAAGGGTTCAGTCCAATGGTGCAGCAACTTCGGATTCCTATTCTCCTCAGAGACATAGAAACTCAAGCTTTTCGAATTTTACTGGCAATGATTTTCGTTAATGTCCCCGAGAATTATACAAAAACAGCGCAATGCAATATCGCAACGGTTTCGACTTCTCTTTACTCTACCAAGTTATAGAAACTGGAGTCTCTCTAATACTGTTCTAGTCAATATTTCTGAGAGTATAAAAAGAGGGTGTAATATTGCAAGAAGTTTTGATCTTTTGATGGATGAATTTTCTCATTTCTCCATATGATTTTGTTGAAAATAGTTCCTTTCTTTGGTTCCTTTGTCTGATTTTTATTTACCGTAACAACTCAGGTATGTAAAGCACAGAGGATATGATGTTAAGTATATTTATGTATTATATAAAGTACCTATATTTGTATTAAAAATTTAAGAGGTTATGTTGAAAAATGATCGATATGCTATTAAACTTTAATAATTTAGTAATTAGGTCTGTTGGTAGACCCTGCACTATCTCCACTGGTATATGTTAATTTTGTAATATTTAAATCTGTTTGATGAAAAAGTACACACCAGTGCAGGTTATTGTAGCATCTACGAACAAATGAATTAATGGCCCATTGGCAATTATTCCTTTAGGAAAAATATTCAACACAGCTTAATTAATTAATAAAATGAAAAAAATCACAATCATGTCGTATATAGTTTTTTTTAAGCATAAAATAATTTTTATATTAATACTAGTTCAAAAGTGAAATTACGACCTCTATACTGTGGAGAGTATTGAAACGCTCGACTGACGAATACAACTCTATACCGTAGGGAGATTTAGAAATCGATATTCAAACGTGGCGTCATCCTATACACCTCTATAATTTTCCGTTTGCTGTGAGTGACGGCTGTGTATAGTTGGTTCAAAAATTGAAATCATATTTTTTAAATTTGACATTCTAGATGATTTGGACTTCTTAAAATTTGTCTTTGACATTCTTTTTTATTTGTAACATTACTATAGTATAGTAAGTTTGATAAACGCCATTTTAGTCACGAATTTAATTTAGGCACGAGCGAGCTTGCGAGCGAGTGCTTATTTAAATGAGTGCTTAGAAAAGTTTATAAACGAGTTGCATCCAATTTTTTTCTACGACAAATAGGTACCTACTTAATATTATCTAAAAAATGATTTTAAATTAAATATTTGTATAAATTTAAGTGACATTTATAGGAAAATAAAGTAGCCATCCCAATTAACATTTTTGACGTAATTTTCACTATTAACATTGCCCGTTATTATTTTAATTAAACTTAACAATTATTCATACTTTAAAATATCAAAATAACTTCAAAACATGATTATGTTAAAAAATATCACCAAACACTCGGCCTTCGCTCGGCATAGGCGGTTCGGCTTGCCCCCAGTCGTCCCGAATACGGCATGCCGCTGCAAAATCGTTCGGCTTGCCCTAGCCGGCCCATTTACGCCCGGAATACGGCCTGTCGCGGCATAAGCAATACATCTCACGGCTGCTTACGCAAGCGAGCTAACTAAATATAAATAGCGATGGGTTGCAATATTTAGTTGGACTTGTGCGTCTGTAATGGCATACCTGAACTTTAATTGTTTGAAGTCCCCATCTCATCCTCATCTGCTCAGTAACGAATAATGGCTAGCTATAGGTTTAACACACTCGACTATATATAGTCGAGTGTGTTAAACCTATAGGATATACCTATCCAGGACGTCTGAATTTGTTCGATTTGTAAAATTTAACTGGCTCTGGCAACGCGGCGCTACGTATGTATACGTACGTATTTAGTCCTTCGGAGGGGACTTTAAGCCCGCGGTCCGTTCCTACCCCCAACCCCCACAAGCCATTCAGTTGGCTTATGGGACTTCTTAAGAAGTAAGGGTGGAACTAAAAGAGCACTTTTGTAGGTGTATACACCTACACAAGAACACTGCACCTACAGTCACTGTAGTACAGTGCGGTACAAATAATTTGTAAATAGGTTTTTATTAATAATTTTACAGCTAATACGACTTGGATTTGCGTTGTTTCCTCTTGAAATATAAAAACGATAATTCATATAGCTTCGGATCGCACTTAAACGACTTAATATTCGTATGGGAGAACCAATCGCACAAACTTTTCAACCTGTTCGTTCTACAAATGCCTATAAAAGATCCCCGGCTGGCTGAATGCTGATGTGAGTCCATTATTGTCACCGTGTCGGTGTCTTCTTGAAGAATAAACAGAACGGTGCGCGAATCAGCGATTAATATGATGTATAAGTTGTTTGAACGCCTGGTTTTTTGTTGTTTTATCCATTCTCCGTAGACAGGTCTAATGTTCTCGTACAAGGAAGTGCTTAAGGGCTCCATATACACTAAGCTCTTCTAGAAATATTTTATAGGTTATATATTATGGAAATTATAGGTACGTAAATAACTCGGGGTGGTTTTAAAAATGCGTGAATTATGATTACCAATAATTCTCGGTTAAAGCATTTAATTCCAAAATAATACAAACACCTATTCAGTGAGTAGTACTCACGATATAAAAAAAACGGTATGCTTATGCGCATGTTATAGCTATCTCTCTCGCACCGTGTGACGTCATGTGCGAACCAAAAGCTGGCGGGTAACTGGGTTGGAATGTTATTTGCACTGCAAATTCACGTTAAATTCAAAAATTTATAATTATAGGGACGGCCTGGGTGCAATTATTAAGTGTAACAAATGTTAAGAAAAAGTTAAATTGCCAGCAAGCGCTTCTAATACTAATGTAACATATTTTAAGCAACAATTAATTTCCTACGTTATTACCAGTTCGGCTCCAGCTCTCGAGAAGACGAGTCGCGTCACGCGGGCGAGCTCTTGAAACGTAAAAGTTTAAAGATGAAACCAACAATAATTTAAAAAAAAGGGGTGCGAACTGATAAGTGAAACAATCATTTTCATGGTGTGCAAGCTAAATGGTGTAACGGTCATTGAGGAGTGGAGTGTTGGGTAATATGAATGACTTGGGTGCCACCTGTCATTGGAGGCTCTACACTGGACGGACGGGGGAGGTCGGAGAAGAGGGGAGGTGGCCATCCGCAAAGGGAAAAATCTGATAAGTTTTACTTTAAGAGTATGCATGACCTGATACAAATCTGCAATATAAATACGGCAAGCATTTTCCGTTATTTGTCACCATTAACATTGCCCGTATTCATTTCATTAAACATAACATTTATTTTACTTGAAAATGTTAAAATAACTTTAAAATACGATTATGTTAAGAACTTTAAACAATTGTTTTGTTTTTAATTACTATCATTGCAAAATTGTATTAAAAAGTGTTAAAAATTCTTACACGGGCAATGTTAATGGTGTTAGGTATCGTTAAAGTGTTTATTGGGATATCTTCATAAGTCTGTCAACAGCAAATGCGTAAGGCGGTCCCAATCGAGACTGAAATAAACACTGGACTGACAGATTAAACTAACATTGAACACATAATTCTAACACATTAAAAAAAAGGGCCTAATAGCCAAACTCGAGATTTGTAAACATTAGACAACAGAATAATCGCGCTTGTGATTTGTTTGACTAGTGAATAAATGCAAGCTTTGGAATTTGATAAACAAAGACGGAACTCTACCACAAAATGTGCTTGGAACAAAAATAATAAAAACAACTGACACACTTTACCAAGGGCAGGAACTATCTGACCAGAACACGGACAATGACTAACGAACAAGACAAAGACCTTGACTAGGAAACTACACCCCTGCAGCGAAATAACAACTCCCCAACTCCAAATAGTAATCCCAAATGTTTGGAGTATTACTAATCGACTGGTCTAGGGGGATTCCGCGTCGTACTTAGTTTTAAGTCGGCGTAATTGTCCCCCAAAAACCAACTCCCTCCCGTCCCTCATCCATACCCCACCGAGCGTATAGCATAGGCTCGGCGAACCCGGGAATGGCTATTATAACTATTCGCCTCTCGCTCTCGAGCCCCAAATAGGGGACAGTACGGAACGCAATGGACATTCGCACCCAGCAAACACGGGTGAAGCCGTGCAGTTGCTGGGGAAGAACAAAAATCGGCGTAAGTAAACATAGGCCTGTACGGGGTTCGAGAGTCAAGAGGAAATGGGGCTGGTTATACGTCTCTTATACTCATACTCATACTCACTCAATTTCCTACGTTATTATTACATGTACATATACGTATAAATGCATTTTTTTAATTTTGTTACCTTTCACATTAAAAAAATGTAAAATTCGGTCTAGCGTACGTTAAGTTAATTCAATTAAATAAAAAATATTTTGAAATAAATAATAGCTATTATTTATAGCTAATAGCTATTATTTATTTCAAAATATTTTTTATTTAATTGAATTAACTTAACTTACTCTAGACCGAATTTTACATTTTTTTAATGTGAAAGGTAACAAAATTATAAAAATGCATTTATACATGTAATAATAACGCACGCCCGCTTTAAAGTGTCAAAATAAAAAAAAATCTCAAAACTGCTTTTGAAGCGGGTTTCCGATACAATTGTGTTTTAATTTTTATTATTAGTAAGAACTTATGCAAGCTGTAAAAAAGTATGTGGTTAGGGTGAAAAGTTACTATAAAGCTGGATTTATAGTTCTAAACGTAGCCGTAGCCGTTGCAGTTGCAGTAGGAGCAAAACAGTCTGTGATTGGCTGGAGGATCTTTTCAGTAGCATCCAAGGTCGGTGTCGTAAGTTGTCGTAAGAGATGACCAACTTTTATCTTTTCTTGCGGCAACAACTACTACAGCCAATCAAATTGCAGACAAACTGTCAAACTTAAAAACAAGGCTCCCAAACCATGTTTATAAGTAAACTAAACCAAATAAACAAAATAAATGAAGCGAAAATCACCGATATAAAATACTTGAAATGATTGTAAACAGAACAAATGTCACTAAACTATGTTTATAAGTAAACTAAACCAAATAAACAAAGCGAAAATCAGCGATACAAAATACTTGAAATGTTTGTAAACAGAAAAAATGTCACTACGCGGCCACTACTACAACCGCTACGCGCTGAACTATAAATTGTAAAAATTAGCTACTTACTTACTGCAACTACAACTGCAACGGCTACGGCTACGTTTTAGAACTATAAATCCGACTTAAGTACCTACCTAACAGAAAATTGGGTATACCTAAAAACTGCCTTTACTTACCGTTTTTTATTGTCATTTTATCCTTTTTCTTGCATGCATTCATCCACTGTGCTGCCAGATCTTTATTTTTTAGAAATCGCAAATATTTAATGTTAGGTTAGGTTGGGTGTGGAAGTTTCTCTTCATATTTCTGCTGTCTGCTACAGCACAGCCCGGCATATTTTAAATTGTTATTAAGTCCAACAAATATATCACAAACTTGATAAATAACCTGGTATAAAACACCCGTACCTTGTAAATAGTTATTGCTCTTTAGTACAAAATTTACGCCAAATGATCGTGCGTAGCTTATACTTAAAAAAACACAATAATTTCGGAAAAAAACTCAAAAGAAATCGTAGTAAAACACCCGTGCATAGCGTATGCCTATGCAAAACTGTTTCAAACAGTCTGTTTGTAACATTTGAATCTGGTTCGCACGCGACGTCACAGGAGCGGAGTGGACGAGTTTTCGTTTCATACCTACTATAAAAATTGAAATTTGTGCATATCGAAAATCCACCCCAAGTTTTTTGCTTTCATTTTCTGAAGATTTTACCCATTCTGTCATTCCTTCTGTAAATTTATCCGCAAATTCAATTGCTTCCGGCACTGTAAGATTTATGTGTTTCAACATATTATTAATTTTCAAATGGTCGTGAATTTTATTCCCTTCCAACATGCTTATAGCAAATAGATGAACGAGATCGTAGTTTAATGGTTTTTTCGGATGATTTACCTAAAAAAATCAACTTTAAAATTATACCACGTTTACCTTATACTTAAATCGTGCTTGAATTTTGTTGTGGTGGCATTTTGATGCCATTAAAACGGCGATTAGGGTGCAAGCGTTACTACCGCTGGTGCAGTTCTTGATATTGTAGTGGGATTGCGAGAAATGGGGTTCGAACCATATGATCAGAATTTTGTCCTCGATCTTCATCTCGGTCTCGAATTTTGGAAAAAAAGGCAGGTCAGAAGGATCGGAAACCATATTTACAAATTAATTTTGACAACGCGCGCTTCATCTGTAGCATGTGTCAGCAGGACATTCAAGTTTTCTTTAATTTTGTATGACTAATAAATCCTTTTTTTTACAGGGTGATTAAAAAATACGAGTCAAAAATCTATTTTTATCCGAAATCGGCAGTATAGTAGTCAACAATCGGCAGTAAAGTAAAAGAAATCGGCAGTAAAGTAGAACTTTACTGCCGATTTAATACAAGTATTGTATGCAACCCATTATACATTTTAAGATGTGTATACTGCTCCACAGCAGCAACTAAATAATATTTTTTTTAAAACACAGTCGCGGAGGTCGATTGGACCCTTTCATAAAATTTTGTTAATTGTATTAATTAGATTAAACATCGCTCCGGCGGGCCAATATATAATAACCGTCGCAAGAAACAGTATACGTAGATACTTCCTACATTCAAATGACATTTGATTTGATCATCAAATGACATTTGCTTTGATTGACCATCAAATGACATTTGATTTAATCATCAATATTAATTATTAGTATTATTAAATGTGATTTCGGATAAAATTTAATATGCACCTCGGCATTAAAGTCATTTTTTATCACTCACGTGGTTATTTGCCTCGGCTTTCGCCTCGGCAAATAATTTCCACATGCAACTGCAGTTAAGAAAATGCAACTTTTCAAAAGTAGCGTAGTAGAAGAATGTGCGAAAGCCGAGGCAAATATCCACGTGAGTGTTAAAAAATGACTTTAATGCCGAGGTGCATGTAGTGCGTGTGCAAAAATTGATTATTGTTTAAAGTGACCACATCAAAAATGTCAAAATCCGGGACAAAGCCAAAAAAAATCCGCCAAAAGCGGAAGGGGAAGGTCCAGAAACAGAAAATCGTATATAACTTACATATACTTTAAAGAAATTTCTGTCGACTGAATTTTCCGCAGAAGGTCATCATTATTCTTTACAGAATTATAAAATTCTTCACAAGAATTTATATTTATTTATTCCAGAAAATACCCGTTCGGTTGGAGCATTAGTTCCTGGTAGGCACAAGCATAATTCTACAATTCTTTTAATTTTATGAAAGGGAACAATTTGGACGCGAAAATATTGAAAAATCTCAACCCATCTTTTGTCAATGGAAACTTTATTTTCAGTCCATTAAGTCAATTTTTCTGGAGTATTAGTTTTACAAATTTGTAAATCTATTTTATTTTTTGTCAGATTTATTATTTTGTGTAAGAAATTATGATTTCTCGTAAAAAGACATAGTGATTAACCGCAAAATCCGGGACGTTCCCGGAACGTTTACTCTTGCGGGACATGTTGATAAAATCCGGGACTGTCTATACTATTGTTGGTACACCTGAGATAAAAAATAATATGTAATGTTTAGTGCCATGTTTAAAGGGTCGTAGCACCCTTATAAAACATTTTTGACCCAACGTTCCACACCAGTCCGAATCGACTAATTCTTCGGCCCAAACTCGAAAAGTGAATATAATAATGTGAAAATTGATCACGAATTTGATATTAAAATTCTCAAATTCAAAATGGCGGACTTTTTTGAAAAATAATTAGTTTATCACTCGGAAAATATCGTCAAACAAAGTGAAACGTCACAATATATCATACATTTTTCGCGAAATTGAAATGAACATTTTGGAAGAAGAGCTACCATATGACATCCTGGATGCAGCAAATACTGTAAATGAGAATTTATTACCAGCGAAATCCTTTCAAAAATATGAGAAACAATTTAAACATTTTGAAAACTGGTGCAACAACAAAGGGACAAAAAGTTTTAAGGAAGAAGTGTTTCTGGCCTATTTTGCGGATTTAAGAAAATCATATCAGCCAAATACTTTGTGGAGTAAGTTTTCCATGTTAAAAAGTGTCCTAAAAGTTAATAAAAATTTGGATTTGAGTCTATATTATAAATTAAGATCATATATAAAAAAGGAAATTGTGGGATACCGATCAAAAAAGTCCAATTTTTTTTAGAAAGATGACATTTCAAGATTCATTAAAGAAGCACCAGATAAAATTGACCTTTTAATAAAAGTTGCCACTATTTTTGGGTTGCCTGGTGCTTGTAGGCGACAAGAGCTCTCAAAGATAATGATTGATGATATAGAAGAAAAAGAAAATTTGGTAATCGTAAAAATTACTCACATTACTTACAAATATTCAAATTTGCGAAAACCAAATACACAAGCGGTTTTTTGTCAATTATAAAAGAAGAGCATGCACTACCCAATTTGTATGAATTAGTACATTTGGTTAAATGCCTGCACAAATAGCTGCATATCTAAAACTTAAAAATCCTTAGGAGTACGCAGGTCATAGTTTTCGTAGATCCTCCGCTACCATATTAGCCGATTCTCAATGTTAAGCGACATGGAGGCTGGAAATCAACGGCTGTCGCCGAGAGCTACGTAGAAGAATCCATGACCCAAAAAAAGTTATCAAATAAAAAACGGCTCTTCTGAGTTAAGTCACTCGTTGAATGAATTAACCTGCTCTACAATTAATTTAGAAAATTGTAATAAACATTAATAAAAATTAATTTAATAATCATTGTTATCTAACACATGCGCAAAGTAATTTTTCCGTACTTACTCCTTGCCCGAGTTGTTATTTTAATTTAAACATTAGAAATTTTTAAAAGTTAGGTAATTGTATTTATCTACGCCAGTGAGATAAGAACTTCTTATCCCACTCATTTTGAGTGAGATAAGAAGTTCATTAACGCACGCGTTTTTCTCTGTTTTTAACCAATCAAATAAAAATGTCAAAATGTCAAAATAACCCTAAATTAAGTCTTGGACAAAAATAATTACCGTTTATTTTTTCATTTAAAGGCGTAGATAAAAATTTGTACAATATACGTGTGATAACGCTTTATTAACGTACTTTTGCGGTTGCCCAACTCGTGCTACGCACTCGTTGGGCAAATTTCGCATGCGTACGTTAATAAAGCTCTTATCCCACTTATATCGTAAATAACTATTATATTTTAAAGAAATTAACTTTTATTCAAACATACAAATACATTTTAAAAATAAAATTAATATATATTTTAATAAATTTGCTTTTTCATTTGAATCTAATGTTATTTATTCTTTTTAAACATGTTATTTTAAATTAAATAATATTATTTTTTAATGTAATACAAAAAATCAAACAATTATTATTAATTTATTATATCTTGAATTAAATCTTTTTTTCGTGTTCATTAAAAAAAAAATTTTATACCTGAATTTGGATCATTTTAGGAACTTTTTTATACATATATATACAATATTTTGCTGTAGAATCACCCCTTTTGGATGAAATTCGGAGACACCCTGTATATTAAATTGGGGTTTAATATAGGTATACCTATACCTATATATAGGCCCTGTACTACAGGGTGCACGAAGTATCCTTCTATAAATATATTTATGAGAATCTTTTATTTGAAGAGCTACAAGGTCAGTTAAATTAGAGAGAAGTTGAGTTAAAATGGCATTTAAAAATATGGGAAAAAATCAGAAGTTCTCAAATAATTCGCAAAAACCTGAAAACCGTCAAAACCAAACATCACATTAATGCAAGAAGTGCCTAAGCCACATTTTCAATTAAATTTACATTGTGGCTTCATCTAAAAGTGTTCCACGTAAGGTTTCAGGTGGTATTTTCAAAGTGGCAGAAATATGTGCCAAAGTGCCTTAGTTTGCATTTACTTCAATGGGAGTTTGCCTGGTTTTCAACTTACGTGAAAACTCTTAGATGAAGCCACAATTACAATTTAATTGAAAATATGACTTAGGCACTTCTTGCATTGACCCCTTCATTTATATATTTATAAACATAAACTAGGTACTTGCAAGTATAGTGCGATAGTGTTATTTTGTTTACTTATGTGGTATTTTATGGAAAAATAATATAATCAATAATAAATAATTCAATTATTAAACATTAGTCAGTAGTCAGACTTAAAAATTGTATTAATTATAATACTTATTGTAATTAAAATATTTATTATCAAGTATTTATTATTGGTTTTCTTACTGAAAGGTTATCAAAGATAATTAGAACGAAACATGATTTCTACAATTTGACCATGAAATAATAAAATCAGTATTTGTGTATACAACTTTATCGAACATATTTCCATCATTAAAAGAAAAATAATCAAATATTTTTCTACGTACGCAAGTCGTGAAAATATTTAATCAGTACACTTTGATAAAAAGTTTGTAATGTGTATAATAAATACATTTTCCCTAGAGATTTTTATAAAATGCATTTTTAATTTAAAGTAGAGAAATGTTTGCTAAACTATTTATTATTGTTATAAAATAGCTGTCAATTTATTAAACCAAAATACTGCAGCATCTAACAGAAGCTGAGAAGTTAAGGGCCATAGCAAAATTGTAAGAACATTGGTCCTTAATCAATCAATCATACTAAATGTATAAATGGTAAATTAAAATCCACGCTCAAACCGAGTCGACCGAATAGAGGCGAATTTGTATAGCCTTTGAAGCTCCTACTTACCAGCAAAGAGCGCAAACTAAATTATTATTTACCTTCTAATATATCAGACGAGTTCGCGTCTATTTGTCGCTGCTTGGGGCAAGAGAATTGGAGCTTGGGCTTTCTCTAATTGGTGGTTTAATATCACATGACTGGATGTGGTGGGTGGCAGTTTGTGTTTCAGTCTGCGTAGAGCGGGTGTTTTTGTTTTGATTCAGATTCAATTATTTAAAACCGTTGTCTGATCTTTTATAGTTTTTGTCTCGATTAGTAAAATTTATTATTTTATTATTGTTGTGCACGGGGGTATGTACATACACGCTACACAGGTAGAATTAGCAGTTTTTATTAACAAGTCGTATTGAGTTTCAATTAAGGTAAGGTTTTCAAAATACCGGCATTGTATTTTATTAGGCAGCGTCAAAAACAATTAAAGTTCAGGGGGTTGTATTCCGATTGCTCTGATATTTTATTTGTTTTATATGTATATATATTTTTATCCATCCATATAACTATATTTTTAAGTTCCAGATATATATTTTAAAGTTAAAAAAAACGAATTTATGTTTTTGAGTTTTGCAATTTGGGTTAAGATTGCTTTGATATTTTCTTTATTTTATTTTTTTTTAGTTAATTTATTATCATTTATAATGGTTTAGTAGGTCTATTTTTTTTTAATCCATTACACCCAAAAATCGCTAGAAAAAACTACGAAACAATAAAGAATAAAGATATTTTTTGTTTTTAAATTGTTTTAAGTTTACTAAAATTAAAAATTTAATTCCCACTTTTTACCAATTTTAAATATTATTATTCAGTGCTTTTAAGTAAATTTTTCCAAAGTTATAGCAATGAGTACTAAATTTAAAAACTTACTTATAGATATAAGAATTTAATTAATGTCAATTTAAGCTATTTTTATTTGTCTCAAAAATATATTTAAGTTTAAAGAAGGTCAACTTATCCTGTTAAATTTCAAATCAAATTGTTTAGAATAAGGTTTTATAGAAGCTATGTAAATTTTAATAAAATGGCGGATGCGCAGGGGTCAAAATACTTAAATATATTTTTTATACTTTGTTTAACACATAATAAAATCGTTGAAAACCTAATTAAATTGTATTGTTATAAATAAATGAAGTCATAGCTTATCAAAAAGCATTCGCGAATTTCCCAAAATAAACTGCAGAAACTTAACGCGTTAAACTGGATGTATTTTACAGAAGTGAACAATAACCAAAGGCCATAAATATTAATAAACACTCATTCAAACATAACATCGGTTGTACCAAGAAATGTTTAAACAAATTGTCATTTTCCCCACCACTTTCATAAGCGATCTGATTCTATCGTCAACAAATTCGTGAGCCGTAGTTCAGTGCTAGTTTCGCCACGAAAATGACGTGGTCACTGAAAATCATCATCCCTCTGGCCTTTGTGGCCTTAGCCGCCCACGTTGAAGCAGACAACAAAGTTGTTTGTTATTATTCCAATAAGTCCTTCTTCAGACAAGGTAAGTCCTACATGTATGAATAAATACGATTTAATATAAACTATACTTTCGTTTTTTCGTTTTATTGTTTTTTTATTGCCTTAAAACCAGCTTGTTTTTATAAATAAGTGTAATTCGTTTTAGTGTCAATATTCACATAGGTAATAAAGATATTTATCATAGCTCTGCAAATTTGTAAGATATTTTTTAAGTAAAGACTACTAGGTTTCGTATTAAAAATGTTACCCAAACGTTTAATTTGTTTTACCTTTATATATGTAATATATATAGAGGGTATCAAAAGTTATCTGCTCACCATTGCTACCACTACGTAAATATGGGAGCTACAAAGTTGGTTAAATTAGAAAATTGGTGTCATTTTCACAGCTGGGAAAGTTACTTCCGAAAAGTATCTAGTTACTTTTCTAAGATACCTTAAACAAAATAACTTAGTTACCCCGGGTAACTAGATTCTTTGAGTTGAAAATATCTTTAGTTACAAGATACTTTAGAAAGTATCTAAGATACTATATGAAAGTATCTGTAACTAAGATACTTTTAAGTAGGTAACTAAGATACTTTAAAGTAACTAAGTTACTTTTAAGTATGAATAAAAAACTATAAAATAATAAAAATTCAAGTTTTAGGTTCGATAATTACTTTGAATCATTTTGGAATTCCCCCAATTTTCTCTAAGAAAGTATCTAAGCTACACTGAAAAGTATCTAAGTTATTTTAAAAAGTATTTTAGTATCTAAGTTACTTGAATGTATCTTAGTTACTTTACAGAGTAACTTAGATTACAAGATAATTTTTCAAAGTAACTAACTTAAATATACTTTCTCTCCAATATAAAAAGTACCTAATATACTTAAAGTATATTAGTTCTTTGATTTAAATAGTGAAAACAGAAAAAAATTTAACGTCGGGTTTTCTAAATATTAATTAAAATACTATTTTTTTAAATGTGACATCCTGTATTTTTTTACATATTTTAAAGGACAATTTAATTTGGAACAAAAAATTATTATTGCATAACTACATTAAACTTAAAAATAAACAATTTTATAAGCCCTTAAACTTTCTGATGGTTGTTGAAATAACCAAATTATTTTATTTTAACAACAATCAAAAAGTTAAAGTGCTTATTAATTGTTTATTTTTAAGTTTAGGATAGTTATGCAATCATAACTTTTTGTTACAAATTAAATTGTCTTTTAAAATATGTAAAAATATACAGGGTGTTTTGTTAAAAAAAACTTATTTTTGTGAATATTTCAGAAATTATTTTTCTGTTTTCACCATTTAAATAAGAAGAAAATGTCATTTGCTAATTTAACCGACTTTGTAGCACCTTGTATGTATATTACATATGTAATATTAATTAATATATATTATAATATATATAATAATTAATTAATATTAATTAGGGTGATTCAAAAAATCTATTTTTGACTTCTGCTATCTACGTATAAGCTTAACCAGTAAACTAGTATTTGCCTGTAAAGCATTAATTATTACGGGTGCCAAACAAATATCCTTTTCACTTTCACTGTGAAAAACTGCTTCTATAAATAAATAAAAAAATGTCATTATAACTTTTTAAAATTTATGCTTCAAAACTTCCTTATTTATTTTTCCAGATGATCAAGTTCCTTCATCCTTATAATTAAACTAATCTAGATAATTTATAAAAATTGCTACATTTTAATTTTTTCATGCAAACAAGTTCACCTTGAATGCTACAATAAGATCTCAGGCCGTGAACTGAATGATAATAACACTAAATGTAAGCAAAAATTAAGTACTTACGTAAGATTATTTAAATTTTGAAAAATTTGAATAAACTCACCATTAAATGCAAGAGGTGCCTCAAGGTGTTTAACTGAGACTGTTTTGCAATAACAAATAAACCAAGGGTGTCAGCTTTAAATTAAATAAACCCGAAATTAAACGTTCTTGTTGGGACACACTGTATATGATTTATTTTCTTTTTCAGGACAAGGTAAATTCGACATTCCCTTCTTGGAGCCAGCTCTTCAATTTTGCACCCATTTGGTCTACGGGTATGCCGGTATCAATGAAGCCAGCCACAAACTGTTGCCTCTTAATGAAAACTTTGATGTTACCAAAGGAAACTATCAACACATTACCGAGTTGAAGAGGCGTTTTCCTGGACTTAGGGTCCTTTTGTCCGTAGGGGGTGGGGAGGATGTTTCTGGTGAAGGCAGTGAGAAGAACATGAAGTACAGAACTTTGGTAAGATGATTTTTTTTCATTTTAGCTTGTTATGTAAGCACGTCATTGTTTTCCATCATTATTTTGTCATCATTTTTGCTTGTCTGCATTTTAGATACCCAATAAAAAATTTATACCGATAATTTATAAGGTTATTTAAAGGTTGTCAGAATACACTGTGCGACAATTTTCGGGTCATCGAAATCAAACCGCACCAGACCATTTTTTTCTGAAAATATACCTATCCAATAGCAAAACCCTCGCTGGGTTTGTAAAAGTTAGCTCGAATTTTTTTTTTATGTCCGTTTGTATTTTCGAGCTTCATATACCCCAATTTAGACCTATAAATCGATTTTTTTCGCATATATTCGATTTATATCGTCAAGACTTTTTGTAGAAATGTAGTTACTGCACAAATAAACCCATTTTGTGAACAACCTTTATTTATATACAAAATTTTTTAATAATAAAATTAATACAAAATAAAAAATCAAACTCTCTGTGCTTTTCTACAATTCTATTGTATCTATTCAATTTTTTCCTACAGATTTTCCAAAGATTTCGGCAAAAAGATTGGTGTTAAGTATGAAAAGATGAATATTTTGGAAAATCTTGTTTAAAAATTGTTTTTTCAGCAAATAAGTAAACTTAAAGTTTAGTTTTGTGTGCGCATTTTATAAATTATTTCTTTTAGTATACTTAAAAAAAAATTGCCAGGAGAAGTAGCAAAGAAATTTTAAATAATATCGAAAAAATTTAAAAAAATTAAAAATTTTCGAATATTTGGTCCCAAAAATTGGGTTTTGGGATATAGGTTGTTCACAAAATGGGTTTATTTGTTCAGTAATTACATTTCTACAAAAAATCTTGACGATATAAATCGAATATATGCGAAAAAATCGATTAATTATGTCTAAATTGGGGTATATGAAGCTAGAAAATACAAACGGCCATAAAAAAATAAATCGAGCTAACTTTTACAAACCCAGCGAGGGTTTTGCTATTGGATAGGTATATTTTCAGAAAAAAATAGTCCGGTGCGGTTTGATTTTTGGTGTTGCACAGTGATATATAAGAGTACCTACAACAAGGTTTTATAAAATCGCCCTTTAGTTTACGAGTTTTATAGTGGTCATATACGGTTACTGTAGCCTCTAGATATATAATTAGGTTATATAATTGTTTTTACAAACATTTTATATAACCAGTGGGTTTATTAAAGTTTATAAAAAAGTTTTATTCAGTTTGCGGTTACCTGTTTTATAAAATTATTTTTTATTAATTATGTGCTAAATAAATCAAAAATATTAAGTAATTGAAAAAAAAATTAAGCAATAATGTTATTAACATAAATATTTTAAAAGTGGGTTAAATCGAATTTAATGCGTTAGAACTTCAGATCTATGTCAAAAATGGCGAACCTGACAACACAACTTTTGAGTAGTTAGATGGTTGCAAATCAAAAGTTTTATAACATCACTTGAAATGACGACAGTTACTACATAATAAAACTTTAAGTAACCTAGATACAACTTTAAAACTTAACTAGTACTAGTAGGCTATATAAAATTACCATGAGCAATATATGAGGGCTCAAGGTTAATACATTCTTTCCGCCATGATTGCTTTTTATATAAAATAAATGTAAATCGAATTTTATTACAAAAACAACTTAATTGACCAAACCAACGTAAAAAAATCAACACTTTGTTTAATGTAAGCAAATAAATAAATTCCTAAATAAAATATACAATATCCAATTAAAATTACTTTGCACTTTAAGTCGTATTGAGTAAATCTTAGATATAAATTATATGTACGAGTATATTATATACCATTCATATTTTTGCTATACTTGGCTTCTCGAGATATTTACGTATTTTAAACAAGTCCCTTAATGTATAAGATGACAATAAGAACGCATGAGGGAGAGAGAAATATTAAAAGAAGGAAACAATCAGGTAACAGTTCTTTAAGAAGTTATATACTGGTTTCCATAATATTCTTATTACCTCTAGGTATAAAACTTGGGTTTTATAGTTTTACCAAACATAAGTAACGATAACCTTCATAAACCACCCAAATAAGCTCTTTAAGGGATAAATATGAGTTATATAAATATTTCTGTAACGAAATTAAGAAATTTACGTTTTATTATTTGGGTACCTAATATAACATTTATGGCAAATACTATAAAAACAAAAATGTTTATTGGGTATTCTTTTAAGTCCACATTTTAGCTTCATCTAGCCTTCCCTTAAGTTAGTCGTTGAGCTTATCATCAATTCAGCTTTTCTTGGCTTCACCTTTCTATAATTTAAGCTTTTTTCATGTGTGGTCCTAGACAAAATTTAAATAAGACAATGACATATAGCTATAACTTTTTTACAGTTGGAATCTGTTGAAAACCGCCTTGCATTCATAAACTCCGCCCATGCCTTGATCAAACAATACGGCTTCGATGGTATAGATTTGGCATGGGAGTTCCCAGAAACTAAACCAAAGAAAATCCATGGAAAAGTTTGTAAGTACGAACAAAATCACAAACAAATCCAAAGCTAAATATTTGACATTCCAGCTGGATTCTTCATCAACTTGAAGCACAAAATCGTCGGCGAATCCGTAATGGATGAGAAGGCTGAAGAACACAAGGAACAATTCACTGCTTTAGTGCGTGAAATCAGGAACAACTTCAGACATGACGGTCTTATGGTTACTTTGTCTGTGTTGCCCAATGTCAACAGCACTGGTACGTTTTAAAAAACCTTTAAAACCGGCATATGTTGTAATAAAATGTTCATTTTCAGTATACATGGACCCCCGTCAATTGGCTCCAAACGTAGACTTCGTAACAATCCAAGCTTTCGATTTCTTCACCCCCACTCGTAACCCTAAAGAAGCCGACTTCCCAGCCCCTCTTTACGAGTTAATCGACAGAAAAACCGACGAAAACGGTGACTGGCAAATCAGACACTGGTATGTAAACCTAAATCAACCCCATAACCTCTAATATCGTCTTTTTCCAAAGGTTATCCAACGGATTCCCCAACAACAAAATTATCCTGGGTATCCCGGCTCATGGTCGCGCCTGGAAGTTGACTGAAGACTCCGGCCTTACGGGTGTACCCCCCCTCACCATCGATGGGCCAGCTGAGGCCGGCCCTTACACCGGCGAGCCCGGTTTGTTGAGTTACCCTGAGGTGTGCGCCAAAATCGCTAACCCGCAACAACTCAAAGCTGGCGCTGGAACTCACTTGAGAAAGGTTGGAGATCCAACCAAAAGATACGGTGAGTTTTTTTGTTGATGATGATTTCATGTGTGGTTTTTGCTGTGACGTATCTGTTTATGGGTCAAAGTTTGAGTTAGATAACACTGATACCTAGAAACCTATTTGAATAAAATAATAATGTTGAAATGATATGTATAAAAGATAACACTGGATTATGTATGTTTTATCAACTTTTCGTTTGTCTTTTTCATGGAAAAAATTCTAATCATTATTATAAATATATTCAGAAAACATTATCTTCAATTTTTTCCTTTTACATATTTTTGAAGAAGGTTTTTTTTGAAAAAGGCAAATTTGGTCCCTTTTACTATAAGAGCATTTTTTTAACTTTAAGCTCTTGGGGGTTTTCAGAAAAATGGACAATCAGTGATGTTACTAACAGATATGGTAGGTTTTTTTTAAATAAAATCACTGCTAATAATTAAAGGTGTTCTGCTTGAAATATATATATATATATTTTTTAAAGGTGTTGCGAAAATATTTTAAAAAAAGTTGACATCTGTTATTTCAACACCTCTCACTTTTGATATCTGTTATTTTCACACCTCTCACTTTTCACATCTGTCATTTCAAAACCTGTTACTTTTTACTCTTGACATTTTTGGCATCTGTCACTACTGACATCTTTCACTTATGACAATTGTCATTTTTGACACCTGTTACTTTTCACACGTAATTTTTGACATATGTCATTCCTGACATCTGTTATGTTGACATCTGCCACTTTTGACAACTGTCCCTTTTAACATCTGTTATTTTAGCACCTTTGTCATTTTTGACATCTGGGCCATTTTGATAGAAAAGATAAATCTTTTTGTTTTTGTCCCGTCCACACCTTTCAATTAATAAAGTTATCTCTACTTTTAAAAAAGATTTCTTGCGTTTTGTTTATATAATGTATAGCCTAATAAAAGAAGAATGTTTTTGACAATGTTGATGCCAAAATATTATATAATAAATTATCTACAATTTTTTTTATAAAAACAGTTTTGTAATTCGTGCGTTTCGCGCGCCTGAAATGGCCTTTTGACATCAGTCACTTTTGACAACTCACTTTTAAAATCTGTTATTTTAACACCTGTCAGTTTTGACTTTTGTCACTTATTACATCTGTTACTTATTACATTTGTCACATCTCGGCCATTTCAAGCGCTCGAAACGCATGAATTTCAAAACTGTTTTTTATAAAAAAAATTGTAGATAATTTATTATATAATATTTTGGCATCAAAATTATAAAAAATATTCTTCATTTAGTAGGTTATACATTAATTTAAAAAAATCGCAAGAAATATTTTATAAAAGTAGATACAATTTTAATAATTGAAAGGTATGGACATTTGTTACTTTTCACATGTCAATTTTTGACATGTCATTACTGACATTTAATTTCGACAACTGTCACTTTTAACACCTGTTACTTTTGACAATTGTAACTTTTGACATCTGTCACTTTTGACAACTGTAACTTTTGACAGCTGTCACTTTTGACATATGTCACTTTTGACGTCATTTTAACACTTGTTGTTTTTGATATCTGACATTTTTGACAACTGTCACTTTTTCATCTGTTACTCTTGACATCTGTTACTGTCATTTTAACACTTGTTACTTTTAATATCTGTCATTTTTAATCTAGTCAAAACTAAAATCTGTTTTATATGTACATATCTACAATATCTTTTCCTAATCTTTCTAGGTACCTATGCTTATAAACTTCCCGACAAAAACGAAGAAGGCGGTATCTGGGTAGGCTACGAGGACCCAGACACAGCAGGAAACAAAGCAGGCTACGCCAAAGCCAAAGGTTTGGGAGGTCTCGCCATTATCGACATCACCATGGACGATTTTCGTGGACTTTGCAACGGCGATAAATATCCCATTTTGAGAGCTGCCAAGTACAGGCTTTAAATTTTTAATTATGTGTTTTATGTGAATGAGATTTATTTATGTTTTATTTAATAAACGGCGTTTTAAATAGGTTTTGTTTTTGTGTTTTCAGTGGAGTTGCAATAATGGCGAATGCGCCGGGGTTAATTCCCATAAATATAATAAAATTATGTTAAAAAAAAACAATCAACATGTAAAAAAACTTTTAAGCATTTATGCAAATCACTGCATCTGTCACTTTTGACAACAGTTATTTTACAAATCGTTCACTTTTCAAATATGTCACTTTTTACAACTGCCATATTAACACATTATACTTTTGACATCTGTCACTTATAACAACTGTCACTTTTGACAACTGTCATTTAAACACATGTTACTTTTGACATCTGTCACTTTTCGAAAGGTTTTTAAATTTACTATTTCATTATTTAAAACATATCGGGTGTAACTTATAAAAGAGAAAAGTTATTATTAACTTTTCAAGTTACTCTAATATGCCCTGGGTTTTCTCAGGTTATTTGTTGATAAATGTAAAACAATTGACATGAAATCTTATAAACAATGTTTTTCCAAAAATTTTACCACCATATGAATTTGTATAATTAAATAATACAAATTTTCAATTAATTTTTTTAATGCAAATTCCATAATTTTTTTAAAATTTGGGTTTCTTTTTTTATTCCAAAATTTTCGTTCAATTTTCCTAATTATACAGTCAAATTTTAAGTAGGTATGAATGAATATAAACACTATAGGTAATTTTTTCAATCCAATTTAAATTTTGACTGACTATTTCCCTCGTCTTAATTTCCACCAATCACAAACGCGCAATATTGAATTACAAATGGTTTCTAGGTGGAAAAACTATGACAGCACCTGTCAGCAGTTTTTTCGACTTGACAGCTGTTGCAATTTATATTTTAATTGTTAACTGGTACTCATGAAATAGTCTTGTCAAATACCATTCGGGCATCTAATTTTTCATGTGAAAAAATTGAAAAAAAACAATGCTAAGTAATATTTTTTAACAAAATGCATTCGTGCACAGAAAAAAATCTAATATAGTACCAAGAACAGCGCTGTCATTGAATGCATTAAAATTGAAGCAATCTAAATTGTTATTTGCTCAATTAATTACTATTAAACCAAAATAGGGAAATATTTTGCCTAAATGTGAAAGAATTGATTGCGTTAAATGTATACAAAGTATACATACCTACAATAGTAACGTTATTCAATAAATCAAATTAGTATTTAATGCAATAACATTCTACCATTCTAACAAATAAATATCAATAGATTTAGGAGCGATAACTTTTGTTGTTAATTTAAAAACAGTAAACGATTATAAACTAAGTGCTAACTACCTATTGGTATTATAGGAACTCTTATTCAGGAATACGGATAACAAGATCCCATTGGTTTAATGGCTCACCCATTCATGCTATGCTAGTGTTTTTTCTGTGTGCAGGTGCAAAAATCCTCGTCTTCGACTCGGATTTTTGTGGCTCATGCTTCTTGTTAAAATATTACTTGGCAACGTGTTTTTTCGATTTTTTTCGGAAAAATTAGATGCTCTTATGATATTGTAGCGAGTACCGCCCTGGATATCGGAGTGATGACTCATCGCCGATTAGTCATTGCCGGTGAGTCATCGCCGGTGACTCAGCGCTCGAATAATCGAGAGTGTGGAGCTCGCTGGAATGTTCCAGAAGACCTTGGCGCTGAATATATAAGAAACGGAGCAGCACACGGCAGTCAGTTAAGATTTGGTACTCGCGGCGAAATAAATAAATATAAGTGCAAATAAATAGACTCTTGAACAATAGTGATATATAAATAATTAGTAGTTAAGTGTTTAGTTAGTTTTATAGTGTTTTAAGTGTAGTTAAGTTAATAAATAAATAGTTAAGTTCGTTAATTAACCAGTGCGTGTTTTTATTCACACTACGAACAGTTAAAAAACGTTACAATTGGTGTCAGAAGTGGGATTAGTGTGAAATTTCGCGAAAATGGTTTCGTTAATGGACTTAAAAGTGGCGGACCTTAAGCGGGAGCTAGAAGAAAGAGAATGTGATACAACTGGAAAAAAGAATGTGTTGCAGCAGCGGCTTCGAGAAGCGTTGGAACAGGAAGGTGAAAATCCAGATACGTATTTATTTGAAGGTTCGTGTGATATGCATTTATTGTTGCAAAATTTAAAGGATGATTTGCAACAGAAAATGGTGGAAAATTCTAGCGATTTAAAAGATTTACAACAAAAGATTCTGGAAAATTCCAACGAGTTGCAAAAAAAAATGTTGGAAAATTCAAACGAGTTACAACAGAAAATGTTAGAAAATGTCAACGATTTAAAGGATGATTTGCAACAGAAAATGTTGGAAAATTCAAACGAGTTGCAACAGAAAATGCTTGAAAATTCTAAAAACCTAAAAGAATATTTGGAAGGGAAGATTCTAGAAAATGTCAATGAATTAGAAGAGAAAGTTGACGATGTAAGGATGGAATTAAATAACGTAAGGATGGAATTGGATACGAGAGAAGAAAAATTGAACGAGAAATTGGAGGTCAAAATTAGAGAAATAAATAGTAAACTGAAAGCTGTAAATTTACCTATGATGCTGACGGAACCAGGAGTATTGCAGGAGGGAAGCCGAGTACGGATGAAACCACCTCAGTTCGATGGAAAAACTTCTTGGACCAACTACATCCGTCAGTTTGAGGCAGCAGCAAAAGCAAATGGCTGGCTACCGGAAGAAAAAGCTACAGCATTGACTCTGGCTTTACGCGGAGATGCAACGGACATCTTGCAGACGCTTTCTCCCAACGAACAAGAAGATTACGAAGCGTTGGTGAAACATCTGGAACTTCGATATGGCCAGACACATTTGGAACATGTCTACCATTCCCAACTTAAGAACCGCTGCCAGAAATCAAACGAGACTTTGCAAGAATTCGAGGCTGATATTGCACGCTTGGTCCGGCTAGCATATCCAGCTACTCCAACGACCGTTATGGAACGATTAGCGGTTCAAGCCTTTTTGGATGGACTTCATGACAACGAAACAAGACAGGCTCTAACACTGGCTCGTCCGAGCCAACTGGTTGATGCATTGGCTCGAGCTTTGGAATTCGAGGCGGCAAAGCAGAGCTGCAGGAGCCAGCCTAGAATAAGGAGAGTCGATGAAGAGAAAGAGGAGGAACCCAGAATAATTGAAGCAATCAGGCAAGTTTTTAAAGAAAATCTACCAGAGAAGAAGGAAATCCGGTGTTGGAGAGCTAGGACATATACGAAGTCGTTGCAGAGAAAGCCAGGAGGCGACTTCATCTAAGTTGGAAAACTAGATAGGGTCGAGGAAAAGGGGCAACCGTCGACCTGTAACCAGTATGCCCCAGAGGATATCGAACGTGTCGCATCTCTTCTACATCAGTCCAGCAGTGTTTTTGTGGATGGCTTTATTAATGGAAAGTTACATGTGCTGCTGCTGGATACAGGTGCGACGAAGACAATTATTCGGCCAGATATTGTCGAAAAGTCCAAGATAAAATCTACCAATCGGCGACTACTAGAATTGTCCAGCATAAAATTAACACCGGTGATTCACAGCCTATTCGACAGTCGGCAAGAAGGCTGCCACTTGCCAAGCGAGAGGAAGCTGATAAAATTGTGCATGAAATGGAGAAGGAAGGGGTGATCGAACCATCCAACAGCCCATGGTCTTCCCCAGTGGTGTTAGTTAAGAAAAAGGATGGATCAACTCGATTTTGCGTCGATTTTCGTCAACTGAACAACGTGACGAAGAAGGACAGCTACCCTCTGCCTAGGATAGATGACACCCTGGATACATTGGCTGGATCCCAAATATTTTCGACTCTGGATTTGAAAAGCGGTTACTGGCAGGTTGAAATGGCACCAGAAGATAGAGAAAAGACGGCGTTTACCGTGGGTGCTGGACTGTGGCAGTTTACTGTCATGCCGTTTGGACTATGTAATGCCCCTGCAACTTTTGAAAGGCTCATGGAAATGGTTTTGAAGGGACTATCCTGGAAGACATGCTTGGTGTACCTTGATGACATCATTGTGGTTGGGAAATCATTTGAGGACCATATGAGGAACCTGAAGGAAGTCTTTCATCGCTTAAGAAGTTCTGGCCTGAAGCTTAGCCCAAAGAAATGTCACTTGTTCCAGAAGGAAGTGCAGTATCTGGGCCATGTCGTTTCAAGTCAAGGAGTTGCAGTGGATAAACAGAAGGTGAAGACGGTGCGGGAATGGCCAGTACCGAAAAACAAACATGACTTAAGAAGCTTTCTTGGATTATGCACCTACTACCGGCGGTACGTACCTGGATTCGCAAAGGTTGCTAAGCCTTTGACACGTTTAACAGAGGGAGAAAGACGATTTCAATGGGACGAAGAATGCCAAGAAGCCTTTAAGAACCTGAAAAACGCGTTGACCAGCTCACCAGTCCTGAGTTATCCTCTTCCGGATGGTGAATTTCTTTTGGAGACGGACGCCAGCAATGTTGGACTGGGAGCTGTTTTGTCGCAGATTCAAGAGGGAAAAGAGAAAGTTATTGGATACTTTAGTAAAACTTTATCCAAACCAGAACGAAATTACTGTGTTACTCGACGCGAGCTGTTAGCAGTGGTAAAATCAGTCGAACACTTTTACAAGTACCTGTATGGAAGAAAATTCTTGCTAAGAACGGATCATGCTGCCCTTAAATGGCTTTTGCAATTCAAGAATCCTGAAGGACAGGTAGCAAGATGGATTGAGAGACTACAGGAGTTCGACTTTGACACAGAACATCGGGCTGGGACCATCCATAGAAATGCTGACGCCTTGTCAAGAAGACCCTGCCCGGAAGACTGTAAACATTGTCTTAGGGCCGAAGAAAAGGATGTGTTTGTTCGCAGAACTACAATCGTGGATGATCATTGGCAATCCGCTGAGGTTCAACAAGACCAGGAAAGGGATCCGGATTTGAAGCTTATCATCGATTGGAAGAAGAACGACCGTAAACCAACGTGGCAGGAAGTCGCCCAATATTCGCCGAATGTGAAATCGTACTGGGCCCAATGGAATTCCATC